AGAGAGAGAGAGAGAGGGAGAGAGAGAGAGAGAGAGGGAGAGAGAGAGAGAGAGAGAGAGAGAGAGGGAGGTCGGGACCGCGACGTTGGCCGTCGTAGACCGCAAGCGGCCGCACCTTTGCAGGCCCCACGTGGGAGGCCGACGCCTGTCGGTGGAACACTGTGTCGACCACCACGACCGCGTAGTTTCGACCGTGGCCCCTGCGGTTGGTTTCGTGACTGCTGCGGTCAACGGCTTGACCGAGGTTGGGCTCCACAGGGAATGTCTATGGGGCCAGCTTCGGCGGCGTGAGCGGCGGCCCCGGTTTTCTGCGGGGGACTACAATCGGCGGTGGTATTGACAGGCGGATGGATCGTGTTTAGGGTCGGCCAAAATGAGTCATGGGACGGTCGGTTCTGGGGGAAGTGCATTCATCCCTGTGTCAGATGCTAACGAAGAGGCTCTTGCGTGTGGAAATACTACGTGACGCAGGGGCAGAGGGCCGGGGCATGGGAGAAGATGCACATGGACCGGAAGTTGAGATGCAACCTATGCAAGCACATCTGGCAAGGGAACGTGTCGAAGGCCGCACGCCACTTTGTTCAAAAGAAGAGATGCCACACAACAATGATGGACATGCTAGTCGACATATGGAATGGAAGGGACTACACTTTCGCGTCGGAGAATGTGTCGTCCATTCTGTCTTACATGGAGGACAAGGGGATCAGGGATGCACGATCAGTTATGGGCCGTCCCTGGACACGAGTGCCGCCATCTACTACATCAGGGGACGAGGTACAGGACGTCCTGGACGAGGCGGACGAGCGCAAGATGTGTGCACAGAGCCACGAGGGGGCTGGTTTGTCAGGCGGTGTAGATTTCAAGGGCGAGGAGGTTGTGTTAACTTTGTGTGGGGCAGGGCCGAAGGAAAAGGGGAAGAGGAAGGTGGTGGACGGGGATGGCGTTCCAACTGCACCGGGGAAGAGGGTTAGAAAGAGCTGGATTGACGAGGTATACAACGCGGAGAAGCTGTCCAAGTTTTGCGACAAGTTTCTCCAGTGGGTGTACGATGTCGACATTTCGTTCAACGCCTTTAAGAGACCGCCTTGGAGGAAGGTCAGGAAGGCATCTGAAGAGATGCCTTGAGGTGTGCGGGTGCAATTTTCCTCCTTTAAGCAAATTGGTGGTCCTGGGATTCCTTCGCAGAGGGCTAAGGTGGCGACCTTGCTTAGAGAGGTGCGAGAGGCTTTCGTTCATAGTGGCGTGACCATGTTGTCCGACGACAAGAAGTCTCGCGATGCACGACCGATCGTGAACTTCCTCGCAGTCGGCGCCAATGGTGCACTACTGTACTCCACCATATGCCATGACGGTCTAGTTCGCGAGACTGGTGCCATTGTCCATCGCAGGTGGAGGGCTATCATCACCTCCTTCCCTGCGAAGGATGTCATCACATTATGCACGGACTCCGCCAGCAACTATGTCGAGGCGGTGAAAAAAACGGGCACAGGACCCCGACCCTGATGTCAGGTGCATCGCGTGGCTCCACAGCTCGACCCACGTTTGCAACTTGATGTTGTCAGACATCGGGACACGAGTGGAGTGGGCGAGGGACACGATCATCTGTGCTCGAGCGTTGGTGCGATTCATCAAATCGCACGGAGCGGTCCTTGCTTTGTACAAGAGGAAGAGTTCTCATGTTTCTCCCATACAGCCGGTAGAAACACGTTTTGCATCGTTTTTTTTTTTGTCGACGTGTTTGGCTGGGAGACGCAACACGTTGCAGTCTATGTTGCACGACAACGAGTGGGCTAGCATTCCTTGGGAGCGGAGTCTCCTGCCGCAGGCTCAGTGGGTGTGCCTTCAGATTCGCGACAGTCAGTTCTGGCGTCTGTTGGAGTTTGCCATCCTTATGATGGAGCCTGTCCATCAACTTTCGCGGCGGATGGACAGAGGAGGGATGATGATGTCCATCCTGTACGAGTGGAGTCAACATCTTGTTCGGCTGATGAAGCAGTCGACGGTACCACCAGATCTTCTATCGCCGTGTGTGCGAGAGGTTGAGATGCGCCTGATGCATCTCTTGGAGCCTGCCCACGCCGCTGCCCATCTCCCCAAGCCCCGCCGACAGTCTATGCGGTACTATGAGTTCCTCCATACGACACCGGAGGACGCCGAGGTTGTACAAGAGTGCGATCGTTTTCTGCTTGCGCAGACAGGGGGGGATCCGACAGGCAGGGATTACCTCCTCGTGCGCGAGCAGATTCGTCGTTTCCACACTCGGAGAGGCGATTGGGGTGATCGTTTGTTGTGTGGCACTGAGGCCCCAAATTGCGACAGGGACGACGAGACCACACGTTGTGCGGTGTGGTGGTTCGCCCATTGGGGAGCCCACCCAGAGTTGCGTGCCATCACTATCCATGTGATGCACATGTGGACGCCCGCCTCTCCTCCGGAGAGGAATTGGGCGGAGCATGAGCGCATTCATACGACCAAGCGAAACAAGCTTGGCTTCGCCAAGGTGGCACAACTGGTTGAGATTATGACTAATCGAAAACTGGCTTCATGCAGGCAACACGGTGTCGGGTATGTTCTGCCTTGGATTATGGATGGTCACGAGGACACGAGACCTCATGGGCCTACAGGCGAGGACGAGGAGGACGCTGACCCGGAGCCAGAGGCTTGGGGGGCGAGACCGGCGGGGACCGTTAGCGATGCCGAGCTGAGGAGGCAGGTTGACGTGTTCGCACGCGACGACACAACCCGTCCGCGAGAGATGCGTGTCGTATTTTGGGAGATGGCAGCCATATTGCTACCTTTCGTCCATGTGCCTCCTCCTGCACAGGACACCGTCGTTGAGGGTTTGCAGGCCGGGGAGGACGATTGGACGGACCCAGAGGACCTTGCGTCGGGCGGGGACAGGTCTGCGAAGCAGGTGTAATTCACGTACGGCGGAGGATTGGATGGGCTTGCACCACGGACATCAGTCATCACCGATGATGGCCTAGGCCGGACAGAGGGAGTTGGAGGCCGACCATCCCTTGCGCCGCCTGCGGGTCACACGGCTCAGCCATCGAGTAGCAGGGCTACGCACCCACCCCCACGCGAGAGGAGGGTTCTAGGGGTCGACTTCAGTGGTGAGGACGAGCCTGAGACGGAGGAGCCTTTGAGGGACGTCCAGTTTGATCCTAGCCACCACTCGTTCGACCGGTCACAACACCTGCGTCGATTGATGAGCATTCGCAGCACCTAGATGAGATCCCAGTTGGGGAGCAAACTCCGATCACCCTAGCACACGGTCGTGATCGTCAAGAGTCAGGACACCCATGGCAAACCATCTTCGTTGAGGATCAGCGATTTTGACGTTTATGTAACAGCAGTGGCCGCGGTCCACGGCTGCGGCCGCAAGGCTGTGGTCATGACCGTGGCGACCGCGGGCTACCGCGACCCGCAGCGGCCGAGCGGAGAGGGGGTTGGGGGTCGGGGTTGCAGATTGGGGTTCCGGAACCCCGACCCCACCCTCTTGAAAAAAAAAAAGTTAAAAAATATATTTTTCGGGGGGGTCGTTTTTCGTGTGTGGAAAAAAAAATAATAATAAAAATATATATATATATATATATATATATATATATTGATTGATTGATTGATTGATTGGTGGTGGAGGTCCTCCAACCCTCCCCCCGGCACATTGATTGGTGGGGGAGGTCCTCCAAGCCTCCCCTCGGCACACACACACACACACACACA